ATTACTAGAATTTTCAAATCAAAAGAAATAGATTGTAAGTCAATGTAAATACAATCCTCATAGATACCAGGCTTAAAATGTTGTACGCCAGATGCGCTTTTCATCAGTTCATCGGTGACACTCGAATCAAAAAAGTTAAAAAGGCCAAATAATGCACGAAGTTGAAGAGCATTGAGTACCCAACATCTGGAAAGGTTTTGTCAAATACAGCTAACGTTATCTACTCCCGGGGGTAGAAAAACCGTAGTATTTGTAAAAATGCAATGTTTTGTAAAAGTTAATTCATAACTATGACCATATCAGTGATAATTCATGTCAACGCAGAAATGCTGACTACTTGGCTGGTGATATCCTCGGGTAGGAAACCCCCACCAGCAGTGTCATCGACCCAGTGGTTGTAAATAAATACCAGGCTTAAATGATGTACGCCAGACGCGCATTTTGATTACAAAAGACACATTAGTGACGCTCAAATCAAAAAAGTTAAAAGAGCCAAATAAAGTACGAAGTTGAAGAGCATTGGGGACCCGAAATTCAAAAAGGCTTTGCCAAATACAACATGCAACTGCATGTAACTGCAACATGTCAATTGTTACTAGAACATTGAGTAGTTTGATAGGGTTTCCTACTACGGACAGACACAAAGAACATTTTCAGTGTCTAGAATATAATAGTTTTAACTTTCTCATCAATGCACGATGCATTTGAAGCAACCAAGAAAACAATTTTTCTGATTTGTTTAAGGGAAATATTTGAAATTCAACTTTTCATTAATTCAATTGTAACTATGTAATTATCTATTTATGTATTTATTTATTTTTTGGGCTAGCTTAATATTTATATATAAAGTCCTTTATTTCTTTTAATGATAATCATGAAATAACAAATAAAATAACAAGAAATGACAAAAGAGTGTTTAATAGCCTGGCAACTCAACTATACATATTGAAATTTGAATTAGCTCCCTTAATTCCCCTTAAAAGCATGAATCCTGCGTGCATTATTGCCTTCATACATTTTTTCATTTTTCAATTGTGTTTCTTCATTTTAATACAATGTATTGACTACATAATTTTTTTTTTTCATGTAAAACAACTAAAGAGCAATCTTTTTGCAGATGGTTGTAATATGGGCAACTGTATAGGTTGTTATGATTCTCAAATCCAAAACTCATCGAGGGTGAAATATTACGGTCTTTCCAAAATCGACTTTTAATGGCTTAGAAAAATATTTATTAAGACTATCATCTGCAGATCGTAAAAATATTACTAAGCTGCGATGCTGCAACCTAAAAATACCAATTGAAACAGGAAGATAGAATGGAATTCCTAGAGATGAAAGACAGTGTCATCTCTGCTCCTTGTCCATTGGAAATGAGTTTCACTACTTATTTGAGTGCCAGTCTGATATTCTTAAAAATATCAGAAAAATACATATTTAAGAATATTAACGCATTTATTCATGTGTTGAGAAAATGAAAGGACTGCTTTCATTTTGCAACATCAAAGTTTTTAAGAACTTATCACTGTTTATTAAGGAATTAGTTAAAATATTGTAATTATACTCTAAATTATATGATTATGTTAACAACGTTCTGTAGCAACCATAAATATGATTATGTATTTTGCCTCTTGTTACACATGTAAATATGTGTCTGAGTGTTTCAAAATAAAGTATATTGTTGTTGTTATTGATTGTGTAATTAGCAAGAAGCGTGATTTCAGTAATATGACAATGCCAAAAACTTCCTTAGCACCAAATGACATATGTTATCTAGTTTTATGGTGATTACCAATTAAATCACAGACATATATTTTGGTTTTCACTCATTTCTATCATTTTCACTGTTATTAATTGAAAATACGTCATTAATATTTTAAAGTGTGTTTGATAATTGACAAATAGTCTCTGTTCTTAAAGTTTTTCACATTTCCATACAGAATTTTATTATTTCAAAGACAAATTATGCAAAAATACTGACGTCTTGTAAAATTAGAAATTGTCCGTCCTTGACCTTTCATCGCGATTTGACAAAAATTGTATCGTACGAATTTTGACGACCGGGCAAAAAAGATGGTAAAGATGATATGCTTTCGAATGGTATATGATTTAGCCGTATGTTAGGTGGGTGCATTAAAAATGAAGTTGTGTGGTTAATGTCACTCGACTATAATGACTTACCATTTCATTTTCTTCGTGTGACATACATGTGTATATGAAAGCTGTTGACAATTACGTATTCGAGTATTATATAAAGCATACACATATATACATTGACATATACCTTAGATTTCCCTTTACTCATATTCCCATATATATTATACACACCTTTTGTCAAATTTTAAGTTTTTAAATCCTTTTTAAACTACAATATATATTGATATGTATGATTAAGACTCTTTTAAAGACAAATTATGATAGTAAACGTACCTTTTCAAATAAAGAATTAATACCACCCATTTAAAACCAGTTGGGGATGTTTGTTTTAAGGATACCCTGAAACCGAATTATGGAGGTCCTGAAATAATTCAATAGTTCCTTAAATACAACAATTTTGACATTGTATTTTTTCATTAAAAGATGATATTTACCATAATTTCAATATCTAAAAAAAATCAATACTTACATAAATGCTAAGTACATTGCTAGAATCAGCCCCAAGAATTCAATTTTTGATGAAATACTTCTTAGTTAAACCATTTCTGTTCAAATGGAAATAACTTAAACTTTATTTCCATGAACTAATCATGTTAATCTAAAATTAAATATGATTTAACCATAGACTCTAAAATTAGATATGATGTAAAGATATATGATGTTACATTATTTTTAAATTATAATCAAATATAAATAATAGTTTTCTAATAAATCTGTCACTCCAATTATAATTGGGTGATTGCATTGAAAATTAGCAGATGTGTGTTATCTATTCTTATCACTTAGTGTATAAATCAAAATCAAACTTTATATATATAGTTGATAGTTCCCAATATTTTTTCTTTCATTTGTAACATACTTATATAGATCTGCAACTTATCTTATCTTAATTTTAACTTTTTGACTTATAAATAATAGATTATTATCTAATGCATTTTCAAATCTGGAACCCCAAACAAGTAAAAATTAAAATTAACAGACACAACAAAACAATTGTATACATATATCACTCAGAAAATTAGTTTTTACAGAATAACAAACACACCATAAAATTCTTCAAACAATTTACCAAAGAAAAGAAAAATTAATAATGAAAATCATGCTTGCAAATTGAAGGGTTATTTCCCCTTGAACAGAACACTGGTTTAACCTTTTAACAAAATACTCTAACATTACGTATATAATTATTAGTAATGTAATTAACTTCAAAATGTCTATCTCTTAAAAACCTATAAAACTTATCTGTAATTATCTTCAAAGTGTCTAATAATGAACAGTAAATTTCAACCTTCATTTATACAGTCCTACTAGTAAATTTCAAACTAGGAAACAGAAAATTTTCAAATAAATCTGAAACTCCAATTATAATTGTGAGATAAGACTTTTACCATATGCTTTACCTTAGTCATAATATGATAACAAGAGAGAAAATTTTTTAAAATACCAATTTTGGATATCAAAAATGGCGATAACTCAAAAAGGATCAATACTGAAATCTTGAAAATTGAACTCAACCTTCATTAAGTCCAGGAAACAACACATTTAAATTTGAAAAAAAAAAATTGTCAAAGCGTATTCATGTTATTGTGGAGACACTGTTTTGCAGCCGCACAAGCACGCCGTAAATCCCCAAATCAATAACCGATATTTGCTTCGTAAATCTGGTAAAAAATGCTATAACAAATGATATTGGATATGCAAAAGAAAATGCTATAAAGAATGATAATCGGTATGCAAACATGATAATGCTATAAAAGAGAAGCGAAAGATACAAAAGGGATATTCAAATTCATAAATCAAAAGCAAACTGACAGATCCATGGCCAAAAAGAAAAAAGACGAAAAGACAAACAACAGTGCACAAAACACAACATAGAAAACTAAAGACTGAGCAACACGAACAAATGATAATCAGTATTCAAACATGAGAATGCTATGAAAATGGATTTTAGTATTTAAACATGAAAAAGCTATTTGTCAATATTTCCCTTACAAACTGTGTAAAAAAGATACCACTCTAAGGAAATGTACAAAATTTGAATTACGCCAGTTAAGGGCGTACGATACAGTTACAGGGTAGGTAATGACGTTGCCAACGTAAAATGTTATTTTTCGCGACGTCAAACTGCGACATATCGGGAAAAGATGCATATTTCGACTTATTTTTATCATTCAGACTGATATAACTTGAAAACGAGTTCATGGACCCCTCTTTCTTAAAATGACATTAGGATTGATTACATATGAAGATTATTTGTACCAATTTTTATGAAAAAGTCACCGATGAGATTTTTTTTAAATTAGATAAGTATACAGCAAAAAATTCTGTTTTTTTCTCCAAAAATCCTGAAACTTTGATAAAAATTAATTATTTCCAAAGAATTGTTATAAAAATTTAGAGCATACTTATGTAAAAGAGATTTTCCAAATGTTTTTACCAAAATCCTATTGTGCTTATCTTTTGAAACAAAAAAAGTTAGGCATGTCTATCCAAAGGATAGAAATGTTCCAAAAAACGAAATTTTGAGTAAAATTTTAATGTCTAAAATTTCGACCCCATTTATCTCTTAAAGTAGCACATGAAAGTATATTTTTTATTACATATTTGCATTGACTAGGTGAAAAATAGCTTGTATGCAAATTTTCGTAAAAAAATCACCGTGGAATCAAAACTGTTACGTATGCTCTTAACTGTAATGGACTGGTTTCAATTGAAGCCTTTATTGGAAATCAACATTTTCACCTTTATCTCCGAAACTTCTTTTACAGTGATTAGCATCAAACAGGTAGAATCAGAATCAGCTCTTTTATATCATTCACAACTTCTTTTCTAGAAATTCAAGATTTACCAACGACTTTTGAAAATAATAAATTGGAGGATTCTATATACAAGGAAGATAAAGGAGATGAAATAAGCTCTATAAACCATGGTAAACACTATCAGATGGATATTATCCAAGTCATTTATTTTTAACTCATTCCTTTCACATTAGTATTTTTCTAAGTTTAACATTAAGTCACCTATTACAAAATCAAGAAGTTGAAAGAAAAAAAATGTATTTTTTTCGTTATTTTATGTTTCAAATATTGAATTTTTAAGTTTTCAGTCAAAATTAGAGTCAAGAAATCTCAAAAATGAGTTCGGAAGTCGTATAGAAAAGTAGATAGTCGGTGTTACATGGGAAAATGAATTAAAACCAAAATTCTACATGTTTAATTTGTTGATAAGAGTAAGAAAATCTCAAACGTGTGGAAAATAGTCGTCAATACTAATTATATTATGGACTAAATATATCGCAATTTATTTGAATCGTCAACACAATTTTTCTTTTTAAAATTGCTGGTTACAAAACCATAAATGGTGAGTTACAAAATCGCAAATGTGAGATATGAAATATCAAATAGAAGTTGTATTGTCGGTATTCCGCGAGAAAATTAATTTTACATCAAAATTCAACATTTTAAGTCGTTAATGCGAGCTTAAAAATCGCAAATATGGGTTAAAGAGGCATTAATACGAATAACATCATCGACTCAATATATTGCAATTTATTGAAATCGTCAACACGATTTTTTCATTTAAAATTGCTGTTTAAAAACCGTAAATGTGAGTTACAAAATCGCAAATGTGAGTTATGAAGTTTTAAAAAGAAGTTGCATTGTCGGTATTCCATGAAAAAAAAATTAAGTCGAAATTCTACATTTTTCAGTTAAATATGCGTCTAAAACGAATAACATCATAGACTTAACAGATTATACTTTGTTTGAATCGTCGTCATGATTTTTTTTTACTGTAAATGTTAGTAACAAAACCGTAAATATGAGTTAGAAATCTGTAAACTAAAGTTAGAAATTTGTTAATTGGATATAAAAATCTTTGATTTTCTTTATAAGTCTTTCTTTCAACAAAATAAGTCAAAAACCATGATTTTGAAGAAAAAAAATAAAATTGTCGCTCAAGTTGTTTTCCATACGCAATTGCAGGATAGCTTTTTATAAAGAGAATTGCAGGATGAGAATTGCTGGATAGTTTGACACTAGTTACTTGAACGCCCGATAAACGCTTATGCACGCTTTTCTTACACCCTAAACACGCTTAAAGCTAGTTGTGCACACGATACAGATATGATTGACAAGTTGAATGCATCCAAAATCATTAGCATATTGGCAGCGTACATGGTTTTTGACCACGCCTGGCGTACGTCGGTGCTTTAAGGTAACATGTGGGTTGGTCTTTTCACCACCGAACACCGCCGAACACCCAAAAAGACCACTAACCCTTAAGAAAAACAGTAATGTTCAATAAAACAATAAAATCGATTAAATTACGTAAAATTTAATCCTATTCTCATGTTTTCATATTTTTATGTGCATTAGTGATGTAAAAGTAAAAAGTAAAATCACAAAAATACTGAACTCCGAGGAAAATTCAAAAAGGAAAGTCCCCAATCAAATGGCAAAATCAAAAAAACAAACACATCAAACGAATGGATAACAACTGTCATATTCCTGACTTGGTACAGGCATTTTCTTATGTAGAAAATGGTGGATTGAACCTGGTTTTATAGCTAGCTAAACCTCTCACTTGTATGACAGTCGCATCAAATTCCATTATATTGACAACGATGCGTGAACAAAACAAACTGACACAATAGGTAAAAATGTCAAAAATAGGGGTACAGCAGTCAACATTGTGTTATCATCTTAATCACTACAAAAACAAAGAAATGTAACGAAGAAGCACAAAAAGGCATACATCAAATTTAAAATCCTCGTTTTGCTTATATTATACTGTAATGATTGGTCCTCGACTGACTACTACACTTTGTTCAGTGTAGTAGTCAGTCGAGGACCAGCTAATGTAAAGTTGAGAATCACAGTTAAAAAAAAAAACGCTTCCGGATCCAGCAATATTTTATCCGGATTTACATTGTCTGTATTTCATTGTATATTATCTTATGGTCTTTACTTTTGAATTATTAGAAATAAATTGTTCAAAAAATTTAAACTATTTTATTTAATGTGAAATTATCACAATAATTATATTTAAAAAAATGTTAGACTTAAAAGTGTACTGTTCTGACAACAGCCCTGCAAGACTGTTATTTTTGGTTCTCTTGTTATCATTTCTTATTAATTTATGTATAGATATGTATAAACATATTCATCCTCGTTCAGAAGGTAAGTAAAATATATAAATAAAGATGAAAACAATATATTTAGGTGTGTTAGATGGTATTTTAATGTGCAATCTAATTAAAATATAGATCTCGGATTTCGTTATACTACGTTATACTTCGTATGTAGTATAACGTAGTATAACGAAATCCGAGATCTATATTTTAATTAGATTGTTTAATGTGTTCGGTGGTGTTCGGTGCTGAAAAGACCTACTGGTAACATGTACGTACATGGATGATCTCGCCGAATTTTATGAAATTTTGTATACAACTATAGCCTAAGGAACTGCACATAACATCCAAAAAATTATATATATAACTGTTATCCTTTTTGATATACAGCAAATAAAAAAAAACCGGAAAAAAGTAGTACAAATATATAGAATATACGTAAATATCGTAAAAAAGTTCAGCAATTTTAACATTTCTCGAAATCCGGTCCTACGAAATTTTCTTTAAAAAATATATGTTATTGCTACTGAAATTTCCGTTTTATTGATATAAAATTTATAGGGGGTCACTGAATTCGTTTTTTGAGTATGAATAGTTGAAACTTCTGTGCAGCGTGGAAAAAAGTGCCAAAAAAGGAAAAAAATAATCGTGACGTCGTATCTAGAAATCTATTGCGACGTTTTTGGATGTTACAGAGACACTTGATTTATACAGCAAAAAAGAATTCGGTGACCCCCTATAACTTTTATATCAATAAAACGAAAATTTTAGGGGCATTAACATATCTTGTTTTAAGAAAATTCGTAGGATACGTTTATGACAAAAGGCAATTCTTCAATATCGTTTTTGATATTTATGTGCATTCTATACATTTGTGCTTCTTTCTACAGAATATTCAATTTGCTATAAATCCGGAAGTATAACATTTACTTATATATTTTTTTGGTATTCATATGCAGTTCCACATGCTCAAATTGCTTGCAAAATTTCATAAAAATCGGCGAGATTGCCCATTTACGTACCTGTTACCTTAAGCTGATGTGTGACGCCGGTATTATGTAAACGAAACGCGCGCCTGGCGTTCAAAATTATCAGCCTGATATATTTGGTTAATTTTACAAACACTCGGTCAATGTCACTGCACCCAATTATTCTAAACTATAAGGTGTTGCTATAAATTACCTAAGCCTTGGATTTTTTTGCTTTGAATGCTCTTCAACATTGTTTTTGATTTGGCCCTCCAACTATTTTGATTCGAGCGTCATTGACGAGTCTGATGTAGACGAATCGCATGTCGGGCATACAAAGTTATAAACTTCATATCTTTGATGAGTTTTTATATCAGAATTTCAAATAATTTTAGTACCAGCAATGCTCAGTAGAGGTATAATTTTAGTACTAGCAATGCCCAGTAGAGGTATAATTTTAGTACTAGTAATGCCCAGTAGAGGTATAATTTTAGTACTAATAATGCCCAAGAGAGGTATAATTTTAGTACTAGCAATGCCCAATAGAGGTATAATCTTAGTACCAGCAATGCTAAGTAGAGGTATAATTTTAGTACCAGCAATGCTCAGTAGAGGTATAATTTTTGCAATAAGTATTTTTAGTCAATAGGTAACATTACAATATATATCACACCACTTTTCTTAGTCATGGTATTTGGACAGCTTCTCTTTTAACACTGAGAAGTGACCCTAATGTATATTTCAAAAATGGTTTGATAAGACGTTATAAAATTCGAATTATTATGGTACAAATGTACTGGACGTCGTGATTAGTTTCGTTAAGATGCTACCAGAAGTATCCAAATTGGACTGCACTTGAAGATATTACAACATTTTTACAATTTGTTCACCATGTAGATTTAATCTTACTGCAAGTATTAAAGTCAAAATTTCATAACACTAACAAAACCGCAATTTTTATGAAATATTTTATGTCCAAGGGTTACAATCAGATCAAAAGTATGTCCCCTCCCCACGGAGAATGAGAGAATGGCATAATTAATTTCAAAAACTGCAATTAAATTATTTGACATTCTTACACAGTCCCATAGTAAGAAGGGGGTAGTATCTAAGATCGCAAGTGAGTATTTCAAGTGCAAAAATGCAATAAAAAAGTATCTGTCTGCCCAATTTTATTTAAGAAGTGGTTGATGAAAATCAGAACTGCAGTGTGGCTAACACAACGTTTTAAATATTTCTGGTAACACTGGGTTCATGGTAGAACATATAATGGAAGCTTGGTCAACACCAAAAAATGGAACACAATTTCATTAATGGCAGCCAAGTTTTTTTTAAATCCTGTTTAAAATAATTTGATACCAAAAAAGAAGTCAAATACAATTTTTACCGTATGAATAAAAGGAAATGCGTAATATACGTCAATGAGACAGCAACACAAGGCCTTAAAATTTATATAGGTCAACACACGGTCTTCAACAGTAGAAGGTATCTAAAATGTGTCGAACTCTAAATCACCTCAAGTCTAAAAAAACGTTGTGGAAAATAAAAAAAAAATACCATCACAGATCTGCCGTCAACACCAAATGACATACAATATAAAGATACAACTAAAGGCAACATACAATACAATACAAAGTCTTTTATTGCCAATTATGACGCCCAATAATTTGAACAGAACAATTAAGTTAAATTTCATACAAGTGATTACATATTGATTACATTGATTATTATAACAATTAAACAAAATCAAATCTTTCTGTACAGAACAATTTCTGCAGATATAATATAAAGTTGTTATATAATATAATATAGATGGACAAACTACCGGTG